GCGCAATCTCAGCTCCAGCTCCCAGGTTCAAGCGATTCTCCTCCTCCAGCCTCCCAAGTAGCTGGGATTACAGGCGTGCACCACCACACCCGGTTAATTTTTTGTATACTTTTTTTTTTTTTGAGACGGAGTCTTGCTCTGTCGCTCAGGCTGGAGTGTAGTGGCGTGATCTCGGCTCACTGCAACCTCCACCTCCTAGGTTCAAGCGATTCTCCTGCCTCAGCCTCCCGAGTAGCTGGGATTACAGGCGTGTGCCGCCACACCCGGTTAATATTTTGTATTTTTAGTATAGATGGGCTTTCACTGTGTTAGCCAGGATGGTCTTGATTTTCTGCCCTTGGGATCTGCCTGCCTTGGCCTCACAAAGTGCTGGGATTACAGGTGTGAGCCACCGCGCCTCTCTGGGGCTGTCGAATTCTTGAGCGTTTCAGTCCCTAGAGTGTCTGCCTGAGCCCTGGATGTGTGCTGCTTCTGCTCCTTTTGGATTACAGAAGCTAATAAGGAAAATGTGTTCCATGGGACCAAAGATACCTCAGGTGCAGGGCGAGGGGCCGATCCCCAGGTCCCACCGGCGTCACCCGCTGCTCAGGTGTGCTTTGAGGAACCACAGCCATCAACATCGACATCAGACCTCTTCCCCACAGCCTCTGCCTCTTCCACGGAGCCGCCTCCTGCAGGGCGAGAGCGTTCCTCCAGTTGCGGTGAGGTTCCATCTCATGAGGTCTTGGTGCTGGTTACATAGCTTTTGTTCACTACTCTTTACTGTGTTGTTACAGAGACAGATAAGCGACCAAGTTCTCAGTAGTAAGGTTTCGTGGTGGTCAACATGGACCGTGTTGTTCCATCCCCAGGAGAAGTGAAGGTCAGCGACTCCAGTACCATAGTGTGTTTTACAGTTTCATTGAGATTAAAATTGACGTACCATCAAAGGCATCCAGATAAAGCATATATTTCAGTGGATTTTAGTATATCACAAGGTTGTGGGACCATCACCATTTCCTAGCACCAGAGGAAATCGGTGCCCATCAGCAGTCACCCCCGTCCCCTTCCCCCAACCCCTGGCAGCTGCACGTGCTTTTGGTCTCGAGATTTGTCTGTTCCGGACATTTCACGGTCATGGAATCCAGCATCGTCCTTTGTGACTGGGCTTTTTCACTTAGCATGATGTTTTCAGAGTTTATCCAGAAGAGGCTGTATTTATTTATTTTTATTTTTATTTTTTTAGAGATGGAGTTTCTCCACGTTGGTCAGGCTGGTCTTGAGCGCCCGACCTCAGGTGATCCTCTCACCTCGGCCTCCCAAAGTGCTGGGATTACAGGCGTGACCCACCGCGCCCGGCTGAAGAGGGTGTACCAGTTTTACAGATGCTGTTTCTTATAGCATGAGCTCTTTTATCTCCTCCCTGGTAATTGAGAAGAATTCCATCTGGGTGCAGTGTGATGGGAATGTTTTCATGTTGGTGTTACGTGGAAAATGTGGACATATGTTTTCCTTAAGTTGAATTGCCCTATACATACAATTTTTTTTAACTTTAGCTTATTTTTGTATTTTTATTTTTTTGAGATGGAGTCTCACTCTGTCACCCAGGCTAGAGTGTGGTGGTGCAATCTTGGCTCACTGCAACCTCCCTCTCCTGGGTTTAAGCGATTCTCCCGCCTCAGCCTCCCGAGTAGCTGGGACTACAGGCAGTTGCCACCATGCTCAGCTAATCTTTGTATTTTTAGTAGAGATGGGGTTTTACCATATTGGCCAGGCTCGTCTTGAACTCCTGACCTCATGATGCACATGTTTTGGCCTCCTAAAGTGCTGGGATTACAGCTGTGAGCCACTGTGTCTGGCCTTTTTTTTTGTTGTTGAGGCCGAGTCACTCTCTGTCGCCCAGGCTGGAGTGCAGAGGCACAATCTCAGGTCACTGCAGCTCCGCCTCCTGGGTTCAAGTAATTCTCATGCGTCAGCCTTCTAAGTAGCTGGGATCATAGGCGCCCGCCACCACACCTAGCTAATTTTTGTATTTTTAGTAGAGATGGAGTTTCACCACGTTGGCCAGGCTGGTCACCAACAGCAGAGTGTTCTAAAAGCATACCTCACTCTGACACAACATCCCGCCAACCATCTGAAGAGTAACATTCACATGTTTTGTGACGTTCCGATGTGAATTCAGGACACACCTGGGAGGGCTTCTCGGGTGCTAATTAGGGAAACTAAGTTGCAGACAAGACTGTGGAGAGTGAGTGCTGTGTAGTTCTCACCTGTTACTTCTGGAGATTAGAGGAATTGCTTAGACCAAACCCGTGACAAACATTTCCTACTGGCCTGTCTCCTGTAGACTCTAAACACAACCCCAACTTCTCAAAGCCTCTTTAATTTAGTTTTGTTTTAACATAACCTTAAATGTGTGAGTGGAAGAAAATAACACTTCAAGATGAAAACGTTCCAGTGCTGGGCAGAGTGGTGCACACCTGTAATCCCAGCACTTTGGGAGGCTGAGACGGGCAAATCCCTTGAGCCCAGGTGTTTGAGACCAGCCTTGGCAACATGGTGAAACTCTGTCTCTACAAAAAATAAAAAAATTAGCTGGCCATGGTGGCATGTGCCTGTAATCCCAGCTACTTGGAAGGCTGAGGAGGGAGGATTGCCTGAGCCTAGGAGGTGGAGGTTGCAGTGAGCTGAGACTGGACCACTGCACTCCAGCCTTGGAGACAAAGCCAGAACTTATCTCAAAAAAAGAAAAAAGACCTATAATCTCAGCACTTTGGGAGGCCAAGGCAGGCAAATCACTTGGAGGTCAGGAGTTTGAGACCAGCCTGGCCGACATGGTGAAACCCTGTTGTCTCTACTAAAAACACAAAAATTAGCCAGGTGTGGTGATGGGTGCCTGTAGTCTCAGCTACTCGGGAGGCTGAGGCAGGAGGATCACCTGACACTGGGGGGCGGGGGTTGCAGTGAGCCGAGGGCTCGCCACTGCAGTTCAGCCTGGGTGACAGAGACGCTGTTTTTAAAAAAAAAGAGAGAGACCGGGCACGGTGACTCACGCTTGTAATCCCAGCACTTTGGGAGGCCAAGGTGGGAGGATCACGAGGTCAGGAGTTTGAGACCAGCCTGGCCAACACAGTGAAACCCCATCTCTACTAAAAATACCAAAATTAGCTGGGCATGGTTGGCAGTGCCTGTAATCCTAGCTACTTGGGAGGCTGAGGCAGGAGAATCACTTGAACCCAGGAGGCAGAGGTTGCAGTGAGCCAAGATCGTGCTACTGCACTATAGCCTGGGCGACGGCGCAACACTCTGTCTCCCTGCCAAAAAAATAAAATAAAATAATAAAAAATAAGAATTCTTCTATCTGTATGCCTAAGTGCATGCATACCAACAAAACAATTATAGTTACCGCTTACTGAGGGGCCACTAAATGTGAGACAGTGTGTTAGGTGTGTTTTGTAAGTGATAAGATGGTGCTCCTCACCATGTTAGGAACTGCCACAGAAGCGCCACTGTCATCCCTTCATTCCGGGGATTAGATGCCCAGTGAGCATAGGGTGCTGGCGATCATGGCCTGAGTGGGTGGCAGCTGGGAGCCAGCCCACAGGCTGCCTCTTTCCTGTTGTTGGTGTATGAGGTGATTTGTTCCCAAAACTATGCTGTTTTCTTTCAGCTCTTATAAGCCAGTTTGTTTTTTCAAATAAGAACATGTTTGAATACTGTAAGCTAGATACACATTATGCTACAATATTATAAACTAGGTCCTTAGTAAGATACAGGTTACTCACACTTGTAATCCCAGCACTTTGGAAGGCTAAGGTAGTTGGATTGTTTGAGCTCAGGAGTTTGCGACCAGCCTGGGTAACGTGGCAAGACCCTGTCTCCACCAAAAATACAAAAAAAAATTTAGCCGGACGTGATGGTGCACACCTGTAGTCCCACCTACTTTTGGGAGGCAGAGGTGGGAGGATCACTTTAGACCAGGAGGTGGAGGTTACAGTCAGTGGAGCTCTCACCATTCCACTCCAGCCCAGGTGAAGAGTGAGACCCTACAAAAACAAAAACAAATAAACAAAAACAA